TGGAACGGTCCAGCTTCTTTTTGTGCCCTCCGGGAAGGTTGGTGAAACTTTGTATCATCCGCAGAGTTTACTTTTGTTTTCTGATATCCGCTGGAAGTGTAAATATTGACAATCAGACTTCTGCACAGTGACTGATGGATCGCAGAAACCTCTGCAGAGGCTGGATCTATTCACTATGGATTGCACGGGATCAGGAGCCTAAAATCTATTTATTTAAAGTGATATTACTATTTGAAATGCTGATGTAATCACTTACAATGGACGCTGCCTCTTGATGTTTAAACGTTTTAGTTTCCTGCAAAATCAGCTGGTCCTCTGTACCTGATATCCTGTTTTAGGGTGGCTCCTTTCCCTTTCAGGGTCCCATGGTGCCGCCCTTGTGTGTGCTAGTAAGCTGTGTGTGTCTCCACTAACACACAGGCACTGCACAGCAAGGCAGACACTCCCCAGCTCCCTGCTCCTCCATCCTCCCTTCTCCAAGCTAGTAGATGGACTGCTGCTGCAGCCTGCTCTGTCCCTTGTGATCTGGTACTGGGCGGTAAGTTCAGGGAAGCCGGGCTCAGAGAGTGGGAGCTGTTTGGAAACAAGATGAGTGTAAGTGCTTGGGTAAAAATTAATAGAAATACTTTGCAGATTAGCTGCAAGCACCATTCGGCTGAAGATTTTCCAACATTTCCCTTTCTAAAAAGTTGATCTATTGATGGACTACTGCCAAGGGAGCGGAGTCGCCAACCGAGCAAATTTTGGCGGATTCCTGCTGAATTGGCAGATATTCGCTCGGTGTGTACCCTACGTAATGGAGAGTGACATACACTCATCCCCATAATTAGAGCCACTGAAGCTGTCACAGGTCGGCTCTATTGGTTGAGAATTGAGAGACATACCGCCGATCACTCAGTTCCCGATCTCCTTGTAGAGAGTGGTGACTGTTTGTCCCCCTCTCCGATCCTCCTGCGCTGATTGGAGGGACGGACGGCGGAGAGGCAGAGCTTGGAGCGGTGACTACTTTACAACACACACAGGGACCATGAGGAACACAAGTAGCCCCCCTCCAGAAGGAAGGACAGTGTCAGCACCAATTCAGAGATGATTGGAGGATCTCCAGCCGAGTGATACACAAATAAGATACATTGTTGTTAATAGTTAAAAAAAAACTACGATGTAAGGGCTTTTCCCCATAGTTCTCTTTAGGGCCACGAGAGGACATATACTAGCATCCTCCCGTGACCCAAAGCTCAGTATACCGCGAGCTACATCTCGCGGTATACTGAGACCGCCGCAGCCGGGACGGATCCCGACATTACTGTCGAGATCCACCCAGCTGCGTGAGTGACAGCTGGCTCTGCCCATCTAGAGGCAGAGCCAGCTGTACGTCCGTTCCTCCAATCAGCGCTTGCGGTTCGGACAGGGGAGGGGAGGAATCCCTGCAGGGAGCGGTGAGTGACAGTCACCGCTCTCTGCAGGGACAGGAACGAGAAGTGAGCGAGCGACGGTATGTGCTTACTCACTTCCCGATCCATTGAGCCGACGTGTGACAGTCTCATTGTCACAGGTCGGCTAGAACTATGAGGCTGAGTGATTTTCACTCGCCTCATAGTTCTCCTTTAAATTTTGGTTCTTGAGTTTAAATATCCTTTAATACAGTTATATGTACAGAGCCCAACAGCTTCTTCCTTTAGAAGTTTATATGTATATGATTGAGTGCGGAGTGTACTGTATTGTTGGAAAGTCTTATTTCCCCGTGTCTGTGGACGGCTCTTCATTTGTAAATATCTTAATTTCTTGCAGTCATCTCCTCTCTCCGTCCTCCTCACTGCTGTGGTGAGTGGAAATTGCACAATGATCTTACTTCTAGAAACAACGTTTGAGTAAAAACTCCCTTCGTAGTGTGTGTGTGTGTGTGCGTGCGTGTGTGTGTGTGCGTGCGTGCGTGCGTGCGTGCGTGTGTGTGTGTGTGCGTGTGTGTGTGCGTGCGTGCGTGTGCGTCTGTGTCTTTCAAGGTTTCTATTAGATATTGATGAGTTACGTGATATTATGTTTAGTTGTATCCTCTTGCAGTATCTAATAGTCACCATGAAAGCCCCATTCTTTTGTTGGTATGTGTGTATGTATATATATATACACTGAGTGGTCAGATTATTATGACCACCCCATCAGTACTTCGCTGGGCCGCCTCGTGACTCCACGAGATGGTGAAAGGTGATGCGAGGAATCTGACACGGCACTGTTGCCCTTCTGTTGTCTTGTACCAGTCTTGCCCCTCCCCCGTTCTGCCCTAACATTGACTAGTCGCTGACGGCCACAATTCGCACGTTCAGACCCAGATTTTCGGCTGACAGTCCGGTCTTTAAACACTTTAACAATGAGCCGCTCTTCAACATTTAACGAATTCTGCTGTTTTGCTGATACTCGCTCCATGGCTCCGAGCGCCAACAATCATCCCACGCTCAAAGGCTGTTACATCGCGTTGTTTCCCCGTATCTTCAGAAACAAATCACTTCTACTGTCGTGGTAACCAACCGGCTTCCCTATTTATAATGGTCTGGTCCTCTAGCCACTTCAGCGCCAAATTATAGCTAATTTGCCTACAAACGTCAGGTGGTCATAATAATCTGGCCACTCAGTGTATATATATATACTGTTTATATACCAGGTCCAGCAGGTTGCTGTAAATAGATAGATATAGATGTATTTATACAAACAATCATAGTTTCACACATTTGATACATGATAAAGGATTACCTGAGCACTATGGCTTAGCACAGCAGATCCAGCTTGCTTTGATGCTCTCACCATTCAAACTAAAACCTATCAGGCAGGACTGAATCCTAATGGTGGCTGTGTGAAACTTCTTAGCACCGCCTTTTTTAAAAACTAGGCTTTCTATTGGTTAGAGACAGCAAGAAGCTTGCAGTGGGGGCGTGTTTGTGAGTTCCTCTCCAGCATTACAAGCGGCGGTTCCCAGATCACCGAGTTGTGGCGGGCTGG